GGTCTAAATATGGCTGGTGGCTTTTATTTTGCCTGGAATTCAGATTTAATACCTTCTGAGTCAATGACGCAAAACAAAAATGTAGTTCTACGAAGTCAAAGCCAAGTGCTTATATGCATACTTGTTTAGGGTTGGTGTCTCAACGTATTTAGGCCAGTAGTTAAAAAAATAACAGCCAGGTAACTAGCTATTTCAGGACAGGTCATTGTAAGGGAATCCCCTCGCATCTTCCCCGCGGACATAGACGGCGCCGAGCATGTGCAGTCCGCGCTCGTATCTCCACTTCCCCGGCGCATGCGCGGAGCCCTACTTAAGCCGCGAGCACACGAATCTTCGGCGTCCTACTGTTGGTTACAGTGAACGCTGAAGATTCACACCCTGCAGCAGCTGAATCCCCAAACGGACTACCTCCAGTTCTTACTCATTCCCCCTGGAACAGCCTGCCAAGGCATCTCCACCTCTCTCTTCAGAGACCACCCAGGAGACTCTTGCATACTACAGTGATCTTGGAGTCCGTATCCAGTGATCTCCAGAACCGCAAGTATCATCTACCTGCTACCTGTGCATATCAAGCAACAGAGTGTTTCATTACTAACTGCTTATAATTGAATTGTCAAGTACTGCACCGTAGTGTTCCAATGCAAATCCAGTGAGAAAGACAGCCTGTTTGTTTTCTTGAAGTTGTGTGTCACCTGTTGTTCATTGCACTCTGCTCCTACAATTATACCCTGCAATTTGCTGCTATATAGACTCTTTTCATTCATAGCTATCAGAGGTTGTAGCAAGTTAATGAACTAAGGAGGAGACATCACCATCACTTAACCCCTCACTACACCTAGAGTTATCAAGTACACTAACTTCCTAAAAAAACCCTGCTGGGGTTAACCACTCCATCTCCCCTTCCTCGGTTACATGATGTTAAACGGTTCATCAACCATTCTCAAGTTTCTGAGAGAGGAGAACTGAACCGCATACTGAGTTAACCGAGACCTGCGTTGCTCCGCAGTTGAGATCCAAGTGCACTTGTGCAGGGAGCGTGACAGTCATCTATGACTGTCTCAATAATTCTCTAATAAGTTTTCTTTAATGCCTTTCTCAGACTCTCACTTTCTATGCTTCTAGATGTTGGTACAGTTCTCAAAGTCATCAGTGTTTCAAAGGATCTATGGAACATGGAAGAGGTTCTACTGGAAGAGCTTCAGATATTTAAGGTACAACGTGTGTGTGTGTGTGTGTGTGTGGTGTGTGTGTGTGGTGTGTGTGATGGAGGTAAAAACTGACTATGGTCAACAATTGAGGATCGCAGTCCTAAATGTCATATTTCAGGAAATAGCCCATTTCTGACCTCAGTCCCTTATCAAGGTTCTTCTCAGAGGGTAATAATTGCAGAAAACATGGCACATCCAGCAATCAGAACGTATTGTAATGTATTTTTTTTCAACTTACTCCCACTTTCCGGAACAGTTTCCCAAAATGATGGAGAATATAAGCCATACAAATGGAAGTACAATGTATATTAGCTTGGTATTTCACTTTAATACAGAAGTAATGTCATCTCTCAGATATGAGCTAGAAAACTTAATTTAAAAAAGCGTAAAGCTTAAAATAGGGGTATTACTAGGGTCCTCAAAGACCTGGGACACCCATAGCTACCTATACTTTTGTGATCCTTGTAGCGTAACATAATAAAATGTAGGTGAGTTTATTGTTTATTTCTTTCTCCCTTAGTGTCCTGGTGCTTTGCAGGTCTGAGAAGCAGGACATGCTCCAAAGTGCCTTGGAACGCCACTTATTTCAGCTAATCTTACATTATTTTATTGACCTTTGTGTATTTTGACTGTAAATGTCAATTCATAAAGATTATTACACAGTTTTGTGCTCCACAAAATCACTGGCTTCACGCTAGTGTTAACTGATTTTTAGTCAGATATGTACTTAAGTGTATTTCCCCTTTTGCAGCCTATTTGGGAAAACAGCTACTTTATATGTGTTATGCATTCCTATACACATAGTATAACTTTAAAATAAATATTTATTTTTTTTTGCTTCCTTTGTATCTGGTTTTTATTTGCTGAAAAATCTTAATTAGCTTTCTCCTGCTATGTAATGTTAAGGAGGAGGCTGGAGAGTCCTGTGTACCATAGTTAACCCTATCTCATAAGTTCTAAACTAGGGGGTCTATTCACAAAGCTGCCGAGGGCAGCCGAGTGAATGACCGATCAGAAGTGAAGTGAGCCGAACACTGTTCGGCTATTCACTTCAGGCTGGTACGGCTGATTTCAGCCGTATATCGGCTGAAATCAGCCGTACATCGGCTTGCTTCGTGTGGCTTCGGATCAGCCGAACATGCTCAGCATGTTCGGCTGACCCAAAGTGCAGAAGGAGTTCGACTCAGCCGATCCAACATCTGGATCGGCTGAGCCGAACCTCCGGCAGGCTTCTCACTGCTGTTTGGGCTTAAAAAAATGGTCCAGTAAATGGGAATTCTGGGGGCGCAGTCTGATCCATACCACAGTCAATAGAGTACCAAGTTCGCACATCACTGAGTTCGGTCGCAGAATCGTCGCTGTTTTAGGTCAAAAGCGGTTTTAGACCAGGTAGAAAACAGCGATAGTAAGATCACGGCTGGCTCCGCCCAGCTGTCAGAAGCAGGCTGTCGGCCGGCCAATGGCCGGCCGCTTGGCCAGCTTCGGCTTTCAGCACGGCTCAGCGCTCGACTGAGCTGCTCGGCCGTGATCGGGAGCTGTATGGGCTATTGTGAATAGCCCATACAGCACCCCCTCGGTTCTCCTGAACTGAAGGGGTCCTGGGGGCGAAGGCAGCCGAAGGATCGGCCGAAGCTACGGCCAGATCCTTCGGCAGCTTTGTGAACAGACCCCTCGGTGAACAGGACTGTCTATCCTAACAAAACGTTAAAGATCCCAACGTTAAAGATCCCACAGCTTCGGTGGCACAGTCAATGCACTTAAACTCAAATTGTCCCTTATCTGCACTTTGTCTTTCATCTTAAGCAATTGAAGCTGCCTTTAGTGTCCTATGTCTAAATCTGCTCTAAAAATAAACTAGAAAGATAAGAATTTTTTTTAGAAATAATATTTTTTAAGTAAGCTGTGTAAATGGAACACATCAAAGTCCAAATCCCATTCGCATTGCCACGGTCTCAAAACCACAAGGTATATGTGGTGCCCAGGTGACCACACCGATGGCGCTGTGCAAAATAGTAATAGTAATTCACCGGCACACACTTGAAGGGTTTTTAAAGTATTGATATGTTTATTCAATACCCAATGTCACATACTGTCATACGGTGCTAACGTTTCGGGTCCGCACAGGGATCCTTCATCAGAGCGACAGTGACAAATATATGGTGGGGGTTTTGCAAATTTGACTTCAGAGGTGGAAATACACTTTAGGGTGAGCAGAAATTGATGATACATTAGTTTGCAGTACTAAATGCTTGGTTCTGATAATCTTTGGTCAAGAGCTCCCAGTGGTGTGAGTTATGATCTACCCTAAACCTCCCATACACTTACCCTACCTGTAAACACACACAAAAAACTAGCACTATGAATTCAACATAGAATCTACTGGTCTGAGAAATACAGTTGTTTCAGGTGGTAAAAAAAAACACTTTGTGGAAGTATAAGAATAATTTATCCATCATAGTGTTTTGATCCACTAGAGTCTCTGGTTTCCTTATCCTTTCTTAGGGCTTGCCAAATTCCCGTTGCAATCACTTTCTTAGAACTTACACTGACACCAAAGGTGACAATCACTACTGCTGGGGAGCACTGGGAACCCAGGGGTTCACTTCACCAGTCACAGCCTTCTGTAGTAAGAACCTAATCCTGATAAGGTCTCACTAGCATATAGTTTAGCAAAACACGCAGATGGCTTTTTCTATGCTACATTAATACATTAACAAATACCAACAATTTTTAAAACAGAGGTTAGGGTTTCTAGCTAACTTATACCAGCTACTGTACAAAGCAGGGAATGCGTTACATGATTCTTACCCCATTAATCAACATGAATAGGTGAGTTGTGGAATTATTATTTTGTCTAAAAATATTAGAACTAAATCAAGTCTATGTCATTCTAGACTCTTTGATAAACATGTTCTAATTATGTAACTATCTAGGTAGCCCACAACTATCACTAATATGCCTCTATTTTGACAGTTGAGATTAAAATGTTTTATCTCATTGGCAACTCTGATCAACTCAGATGAGGATATGTGTAGTTTAAGACCACAGCAAATTAACATAGAAGATCCAACAAAATGAAAATGATATTGAACTGTTTCTCTATGACTGACTTAACATCCAGTAGGTATTGACTGATGTGCACATGAATGCACTGAGTCAATACACTTTTTTCACACAAAAAAGGATGGCCGTTACCTTTTAGGAATAGTTTTGACTGTAATAATTGCAATTAATATATTTATATACATGTTTAATATATCCATTTTGTAGTAAACGTAAGACTTATGATGGAAATATTTATTTTTTTCATTTTTAGAAACCTTCACCGATTACAAACATAGAGCTTTCAATCAAGCAGGTAAGTTACACTTGCCCCAAACACATTTCTTATATTCAAAGGGGGGAATTTATCAAAACTGGAGCAGACAAAATCTGGTGCAGAATTGCACTGCAATCAATCAGATTCTCCATCTCATTCTCAAATCTTACCTGAGCAAACGGAAGAGAGATGCTGATTGGTTGCCATGGGAAACTGCTCCAGATTCTGTCTGCTCCTGTTTTGATAAATTCCCACTAATATTTTTTAAATGCATGTGTGAGCTTCACGGTAACTAAAGCTGCCCATACAAGAGTAGACAGGGTTCCCGAACCCTAACCACCCTTATCTGTGGTCTTCCAATTGCAGTCATGACAAAATGCAGTCATGGAAGGACTGTATATACCCACTGAAGCAGTACACTTATGTTTGAGGTGCTAAAATAAAGAAACACAATAAACACAATTAAGTTTACACTGAAGTTTCCCTCCCATACTCTGATACAAAATGCCTACCCACTATTATATATAGAAACACTTGAACAGACTAAGAATTCATTCATCAACTGCCTTTTTTCCAGCAGTTGACAGGTGCAGAATGCTGATAAAAAAACATGCTACTTTGGATGTTCTTCTGCATTTAATTCAGACTAAAATAAAAATAAATAAAGTCTAACGCATGTTTTACGGTCATTGACCCATTTGGTTTAATACATGAGTAACATGAAATGGCTTTGTTTAATTTCAGCATCAACTTTACATAACATCTCATGATGGCCTGGTTCAGCTGTCACCACATAGGTGTGATACATATGGTAAGGCGTGTACAGACTGCTGCCTTGCAAGAGATCCATACTGTGCTTGGGATGGAAGTTCCTGCTCTAGATATATACCGACATTAAAAAGGTAAATGCCTTTGAAAGGAATGTATAATTTCTAAAAGAGCCAACGTTTTGATGTCATCAATTGGATGCAAATGAATTACAAGCAGCAGATAGCTATGGCCTGTTAGTCCACTGGACTCTTTAAAGCGGTACTAAACTCAAGAGTTAACGCTTAAAAATGCATTTAACAATAATAATAACTATTAACAAAAATGTAGCTTGTTTGTGTATCGCTTGGCTGTGGATCCTCAAATCATCTCTGAATTAATGCTGCTGACACTGTCCTTCCTTCTGGAGGGTGGCTACTTTTGTTCCTGATGGTCCCTGTGTGTTTTGTAAAGTAGCTACCGCTCCAAACCTGCTTCCAAGGCTACTTTACAACACACACAGATACCATGGGGAACAAAAGTAGCCACCCTCCAGAAGGAAGGACAGTGTCAGCATTAATTCAGAGATACTCAAATAAGATATTTTTGTTCATAGTCAATAGTTAATAGTAATTAAATGCATTTTGAAGATTTCACTTCTGAGTTTTAGTCTCACTTTAACCAGTGGCTTCATGACATTTAAATCAGCATTATGCATGAGAGTCAGTTTTATTTTATTGGCAACAGCACAGGTATTTCTATCAAAACAAGTTACAATGAGCTAGCTTTCGGAATTGTCCACTGAATAGGAAAACCATGAACTATAACACAGTTCCAAAGATAACAATTAAACAACGGTTAATGTTACATGAAATCTTATAATATGTAAAAAAAATTACTAAACCATTTTGAACCCATATCTTACAACTTTATGCTTATAGTGCTAACATAGAACAACTAGAGCAGGGCTAGAGAATACAATTGATTATTCAGTGAAAACATGTCTTAGCGGTATATTAAACTGGCATCTGATATATTAGTGTATAATTTATTTCTGCAGGTGTAGAATACTGCATACTTCCCTCATATTTTCCTATTGCTGTTGTTTGTTTTAACTGAGGCGCTGAAAGAATGCAATCAGTGCCTCTCTATCAATCTCAGTAATTGCATTCCTTCAAGCTTTTTCTGCTTTATAATCTATTGAGCAAGAAAAAATTTTGTGTCAGTAATTTTTACCTGCACGTATTTTTTTTTCTCAAGACGTTCTAGAAGACAAGATATAAAAAATGGAGATCCCCTTACACAATGCTGGGATGTGGATGAACGTAAGTTGTTTTCGGAGGTGTGAAGTACTTAATGTGTATGTGGTATGGATCTACAGTATAAAGTGCTAGAGGATTCCAATGCACTTCTGTAGTTACAGCCTATGAGTGTAATTGTATATTTCACTGGGCATACATTAACTGATATTGCCATATTAAAACCTAACTGCACATTTACCCTTGTTGACCTGGATCTAAAGTTTAAGCTGAGTACTAAAATGACTCCTCTGTCCGATCTGTATAGCTATAGCTATACTATGCAAAGAATGGGTGAATCCCTCGAGAGTAAGTAAAATATTTTTAATGCCAACAAACTACTCACCATCTATCCACTTGTTATACAGTCAAATGCATCAACAAATAGGTCACGGCTTAATTTCCATATTGATTTTGCTTCATAACCAAATTGATTTTGGTTACTACTCAACAAACAATGGCATCTCTTTGCTACTATTTGATGGTAAATGAGTAATAAATGCCTTCTCTTGATAATTGGTACCTCTAATAGGAACAAGAAGAAGCCTTTCTTGTTTGCTATACTCAGAAAGCCATTAGGTTAATGAGTACATTTGAGCTCCTCCTATACCTCAGCACAGTGAAAATTACTTGAAGCCAGAATTGTTATAAAGAAGATCTTCCCCAAAAACTGTTTTGATAGGAACGTGATGGTAGTTAAAGCTTTATTTCTGTAGTCCCTATGAAAAGTACTCTAAAATAAGCTGGAAGGTATTCCCCCTCAGTTCTTGGTGTTGTGCTGTCTGTGGCAATATTCATTATTAGTTTTAAAAAATTACCATATAGTTACTGTTTGCAGTTATTAATCTTTACTGCTAATATGTTTTATTTTGTGACTCCCTTTTCATTGTGTAATACTTTCCCTAAAAAAATCTTATTTTTTTCCCTCCTTTAGGGGCTGCCAATGAAGCTCCTGAAGAAAAAGTCATATTTGGCGTAGAGTTAAATTCTACCTTTTTGGAATGTGTTCCAAAGTCACAGCAAGCCTCTATCAGATGGTTTATTCAGCACACAGGAGAGGACCGACAGGAAGAGGTAAGTCCTTCTGATGATATATTTACAATGGAATATATTCAGATGTGCATATCACTGATTTTTTTTTATCTTTTACTTGCCAACTGGGTTTGATGCTATACTGGAAAATAATTATCTTTTTCAGAGGAAGTCACTCCTTATCCTGTATAATTTCCCATTTTATTTTTGTGACATCAAGGAAAACTAGTTCTGACTCATTTTACTGCCAGCTTGCTACAGAAAAAAATGACACAATTTAAAGTAAAACTGAAGATCATGTTTGGCGGTGGTGAAGAGATCCTTAAAGTACTACTATGTGCTAATAATTTTTTACCTTAATGCAATTTCTGCATCAAGGTAAAAAACACGCAGTACCATTTTGTGTCACTGCTGTCACTGCTGCCGGTCCCTCCGTTCCATGAAATTCCTGGTTATGGGGGAGAATACTGAGGGCAGAGGAGCCAGTGGGTCCTTCTGCCATTAGTCAAACTGTTGTGCGGAGAGGAGGGGCGTGGCCTGCCACTGGGCTGTGTGTGTCTGAGGACGCACATAGCTACTGCAGGCACGGCTAGGAATGTGCACGCTTGGGTGGCTCCATAGCAGGCGCTTAGCTGATGGAGGCACCCCTGCATGGGGTGGGAGGGAGAAAGATGCGGGGACCCATTAGAAAAGCAGGAATTTAAAAATTAAAGAACAAAGATCTGCAAAAATGTGGGCCTCCCAGTAATAATAAAAAACAAAATACTAAAGGTTTATTATCGCTTACATTTCAGATTTGATCCTAGAAAACATTCTTCCTTACAAACTGAAAAAGGATGTTTTTCTAAGGGTTGTTTAGTCCAATTTATTGAATACAAAGTGTGAGCAAGCAGATGCTAATGGAAAAATACTTTCCTAGAGCATTTGTTTTGCTAATAAGAATATAAATAAAAGAAGAGCACCTTTTCACTAGGTGCAAAAGCTGCATATTTGGAGCCATACCGATGTTGTAAAATATAATTGTTAAAACCTATATCTAAACAAGAGCAAACAATAGCAAACAATTTACTGTTAAAGCGGAACTCTGGGTAAATGTTTATTAACCCTTGCAGTGGGGCTACACCCGCACTGCAAGTGGTAAGTGCTCGTTTGTGTCTAGGTTCAAAAATAAAAAGATTATACTCACCCAATCCTTTGAGCCGCCTTGCTCTTAAACCCATCCATTCCACCTCGCTCCCCCTCTGCTGCAGCAGTCTATGGTCCCTGAGTCATCATGTTTTACACACAGTGTATAAGACATGAGGATGTTGAGGGACATACCATCGCTGCAGCGGAGGATGCAGGCTGGAGTGAGTGCTGTCACAGCCAGCCGTTTTAGATTATATATTTGTTATTTTTGGACCTAGACACAAACGAGCACCTGACCCTTGCAGTGCAATTTATATCTTGCCTTCTAGAATGCCTTGAAAACAAAATATGTGCAGGCAAAAATTAATAACATTTTTACCTGGAGTTCTGCTTTAAATACAAGTTGTGCGTGCCCTTGCAGCTTATGAAAAGATGCCAATGTAATAATTACCTTTTAATTAAGATAAGTCAGGCTTCAATCAGCATTTCTTGCAGTTTTCCAAAGCTTTTTGTACATTCTGCCTTGCTAAGAACAAGCTGCACTTATTCACCTCTAGAGAGTGATGTTTGGAGTTGACCTGTTTTGCATTGGTCTGAATGACAGCCCATCTTTCAGATGCAGCTTGTTGACAGCAAAGTAGGATGTTTGAAATATAGCAAGCTAAGTACCAGTATTAAAGAACCATACATTTCATGCCTTCTGTATGGCATTCTTGAATCACGTGATTCACTGTATAACATACTATACATATCTGCATGCACATACTCAGAGAATTGCTTGTCTCTTTTATTTTCTATGTGGATTACATGGTGCATATACATTTATGGAGTTATCCAATGATTGCAGCTCTCATTTTTCCAGGACAGAATTAAAAGTAAAAGCAGTCATCCAATTTGTTTTTTGTGGACAATACCGCTGCTTTTTTTTGCAATAGAATTCAGAGATCTGTATTTAAGTAATGGGAAAGTCAGCTTGCTCTTGCACATCCACAGGCGTAGGAGTCATTTCATGTATACGCCAAACAGTTTAGACATATCATCAATAAATCACTTGTAATACATGCTCCAATTCAAAATATTTATATTTGCATACATATTACATTTCTCACAGACCTTCCAGTGATTCAGCCCATCTGTCCATGTTTTCTAAAAAGAAAAATAAGCAAGTGTAAGTTTAATACACCGAAAGTGAAACATACTTACTTGCAGAAATATGTGCTCTTATTCTCACAACAAATTTGTATTAGTACCTGTTGATATTAATAAGGTGGGAAACGGGTTACTGCCCCTTCAGAACCAAACCAGTTTCATTTCTGGGCTATACATATAACTCTTCTCACAGATGGCAAATCTTTTTTAATATATAGGTTTTTAAAGCTGTGATAGGAGCTTTGGTTGGAATGCCCTTTTAGTGTTGTGTTGTGTTGACATATAGGCTTGAGGGTATTCTGAGTTTTGTTAGAAACCTGTTTTTCATATGTGGACTGGGCATAGAGGGGTTTTGGTCAACTCTGGTGCAGAAGTGACATCCTATTGTGTGGAGCAATAGTGTACATATTCAAGGCATGTACAGAGAGGTTGGGCAGAAGTGGATGTGAGTCAGCAATTCATATGTGCTATGGTGGTAAACGGCTTGAGCTATTTGTTGGGTGACCTATATACAGAATTTACTGCCTTCTAAGTCCAAGAAGGTCTAACTGATTAGCCCACGGAGGTGTAAACTAAGCAGGCAGCAGATCTCTTCAATGCATATTTCCACTTTTGCAGCATACAGGAAATCATTTTTTTTTTATTCTTACCTCTTAGATGTTTTGTCGCAGCAGGCAACATGGCTAATTCCATTTTTTCTCAGCGCAGTGGTCTGTCCTAATAAAAGACTTATGGCTGATATTTGAGGATTGTGTTTCTCTCATTAACATTTGAATGCAGAAGCCAGGGTTGTAATCCTTTAGTCCCTCACAGCCCCTCCTAACATTACAAAGAAGGAAAATAAAGTAGAAATGTTAACCTTTAAGAAGCCAAGAAAACTTAACTCCAGTAAAAGCAATTTAAACTGCAACATAAGCTTAGTTATGTGAATAGGAACATGTAACAAATATAAAATAGGTGTTATTTCAATCTGGCTGCAAAAGTGGAAATACACTTTAAGACTTAAATGCTGTGAGGAAGATATATGCTCAGATTCAACAGTAATTACTGCATACACTACTGGTTTATATTCATGCCCAAAGCAACACAGCTGAAATGGTGGTGGTTTGTTTTTAAAATACCCATAAACACATGGTGGCAGTCAGACAATTTATTCTCCCATGTGAAGAGATGTTTAAGGGGTATGATCACTTGTCCACTTTAAGGTGTTCACTTTAAGGTCATTGCAAAGTACAAGGGGCACTATGCCTCTGGAGGAAAATCGGTTTCATCTCTGTACACAGAGGCTTCTTCACAGTAAGAGCCATGTGGAATCGTCTTCCTCAGGAGCTAATTCTGAATAGTTCAGTTGGTTTTTTTTTAAGCTGAATTTATGTCTGAATATAACTGGCTTTTGATATTTTAAGTAAAAACAATATAAATGGTTGATCCAGGAAGTATAGTCCCTGTTGGACCAAATTGGACAATACTTTATAAGGGCTTTCTTTTTTTTTCCCTCTGGATCAACTATGGATTTAATATCCATAGCTGTTGGTTCTGTATATGGAGGTTTTAAAGTTATTTATTAAATCATTTTGGTTGAACTCAATGCACTGTACTTGTATCTTTTTTCAACCTAACTATATAACTGTAACAATTAAAAATTATTGGGACATCCAAATACATGTTAGTTATGACTAGGCAAGGAGCACACAGGAATATATTAAACTCAGCTCTTTATACTAGCAGTGGTGCTTTACAGGCCATTTTCAAAAAAATAGGTGAATCTTTAATCTTGAAAATCAATATACAATTTTATTATGTAAAGCAGCTTTGGGTTATGAACTTTGAGATGGAAACACAATGAAATATGGAAGTACAAAACTCAGCTCATCTTCCCCATCAGTCAGTTCCTTACCTGTGGTTTCTCGTTTCATGAGGACAATCAATCACTGTGACTAGTGTTTCCTTGTCTTTTGGTTTGTGATGAAAGGTATGCTTTGAAGATGCTGCCACCCAAAAGCAGCTGTGTAGATCTCCACATGTGCATTAGATAATTATCAAAATATTCTGTTTACTCAACAAAAGGAGTTCACTCCATTTGCAATGGCCACAACAAATGTATGTACCATGTTTCTCTAATTTAACCAGTAGTATGATTGTTGCATCCTTTACTATAAACAAAGATGTAAAACGTCTGTTGCCAATATTGACACACCCCACAGCCCCAAGTAAATTTAAACATAAACACATATGCAATTATTCTGCTGTCAATACCAAATAACTGGTCTGATCTCCAACCGATAAATGATCTCCCACTGATTTCATTTCTGAGCAATGTTTATTTGAGACATTTCCATACTGACAGATATGAACCATCTAGGTAAATGATACAGGTAGTCATTTGCTAAAATACCATGCTATGTTATACATAATAAACATGGTCTAGCTTACTTTCATAATGTGACCTTGAAGGTTAAACGAAGTCTGAACTGATGGATATTTAGGCTGCCGTTGCAGACCTCTCCATTTTAATATGCTAGTTGCCTGATTAGATGGATTGTGTGCTTTCTGTGTCACCAACCTGGACCAAGTGTGCAGATTACAAAGTTTTATTGTGTTTGCTACATGTTTAATCTAAATCATTAACTTTTTTTATAATCAGACTATCAGTCAACAGGGAGGGAATTGGCTGAATGGCAGACTACAGATTTCTTTCAGTTCTGGTTTCCTTTAATACATATTCAAATACAATTTGCTTGTTATCTTAAGGAAAAAATAACACC